TGTGGTGATAGAATAGGGTACTATATTTTATGGTAATACAAGTGCAATAAACATGGCAAACAGAATTTGGTTCATCACAAGAGAACAAAGAATATTAATGTGATACATCACTTTTTGGGACATAATGTAGAAAAGAGCTACATCTTATGGAGTTTTGCAAAATAAAGGAGTAGATTGCGAATATATTTACCAAAGCTTCAAGCAGGGATCACTTCGAGAAAAATCACTTGGAGCTTGATTTGATCAAGATGAACTAAGATAATCCTGATTCCCTCAATGATTGGTTATATTTTAATAAAGTGTTTAGTAAGTCTAAGCGTGAAAATGTATAACTCGGTCTTATATTATAACAAGTATGCACGCACGGCATAATAGTGAGGGCTTAAAATACCCTTGGTCTCAAAAAGACTTTTGGTCGCATTAAGAAAATCAGTCAAGAACCTAGTTGCTTGACATCCAAGTATGTGCCTCATCTCTAGTAGATAGTTATAATAAGATGTTGAATTGCTACATCCTGAAAACTAGGTTCATACTCACCTAATTATATCCCACAATCATAAATTCTTTCATGCATAATTAAATATATCAGGTCTTTCCCGTTTTGAACCGGATTAAAAGTTATTATCTTGATTGATTAGGACTTGAACTGTGAAATTGTGTCCCTTATTTAAGTCCTCTCTTTCAGTTACATCTCACAATTGCTCAAATTCTCTATTAATTTTCAAGTAAAAGCAAAATCAAAGAACCGCAAACCCCAGTCCTCTCGAAGAAATCGAAAAATCTCTAATAATGTCAGCCTAACAAAACCTTCTCACGTCTAGTTCTTTGAAACCTAAACCCACTCCAATTTCTAACACTCCTTCTGTCTTACCTACCCCAAATCGAGTCTGAACAAAACCCCACTCAAGAAACCCCAAAAACTATCATTGGACCAGTCGATGGATCCAACATGCAAAGAGGTAAAAGATCTAGACATGCAAGTCCTGTAATAGTGGAGTCAAAAGTTCAAGGGAAAGAGATAGTGGAGGGTGAGAAAGATAAAGAGAAAGAAAGTAAAAATAAGAGTGGTAATATTAATGATGTTGTTGTTGAAGTGGAGGGAACTGAAGGCCCTAGTAATGAACTAAAGAGTGAGAATGTTAGTGCTGGTTTTGAAGCACCAGAAGCCCTAGAACAATAACTAGTTCTTTTGCTGCTAGTAAGGGGTAGGGGTGGGAGAAGAAAATTTTGAAAAAGTTCCTATAGCGGAGATTGTATAAGAGAATATTTGAAAAGGTGGCGAAGAGGACCAAGAACCTAGTTCTTTAGCATCAGATAAAGAAAAATCTTCATCTTTAAGGATATAGTTTTCTGATACATAGGGGGAAGAAGAGAAGAGTGAGAACCTAAAGTAAACAAGGAAGGGAGTGATAGAGATGCTGTGATTTTGGCTGAGAGATTTTCTCATTTGAAGCAGAAAATGTGAGTAAATGGGATAAATCATCTAGAAGAATTAAACATATAGACAAGAAGACAGTTAAAAAGGGGAAAGTTGTGGTTCCTAAGGTTATAAATCTAAACACTAGGTGTAAGAGCAAACTTTCTCTTGAGAAAGATTTACATGAGGTAATAAAAAGAGAAATGAGAGAAAAGAGTTCCAGTTTCTGATGTGGAACAAGTTGATTTGGTTAGTGAGGATGATGAGAAAGATAAGGAGGCAGATGAGGAGGTTCCTCTTCAAAGAAGGAAATGAGAAGGTTGGATCTGGTTAGTGAGGATTATGAGAAAGATAAGGAGGAAGATGAGGAGGTTCATCTTCAAAGAAGGAAATGACAAGGCTGAATCATCTTCAGTCATACCCAAAAAGAAGAGGACTCCTAGAAAGAGAAAGTCACTGAACTCTACGGTCAAAGGAACTAGTTTCAAATGCTGAAAGAAAATAAAGAGAAAGATTGTTGTTGTAGGCAAAGAATGTCAGTTCAGTGGGTTAATGATTTTGAAGGGTAGAGTGATAGACCTTGCAACTTTTAGGATATTTGAAATGAAAGAGCTGCTAGAGAAGCTCAAACACCAAATGTGGACTTACTTATTTATGTGCCCATTCCTTGGGATGTATGGTAAAGTCATGTTGCATTTTTACTCGAATTTCTAACTGCTTGAGGATGGCACAATGAGTATTATGGTAAGGAGAGTGGACCTGGTTCTCAATACTGAGCTTCTGAGAGAGATTTTGAGGGTGCATGTAAATGGGTTTGATGCATATGTTCGACGAGAATGGCCCACTTTAGGGGAGGAAGAGGATAATATGTATCTAACCTTTAATTATAACTAGAGAAGAGAGAAGCAGAAATCCCGAAATAGGGGAAAAGGTAAGATAAAATGAGTTCACAAGCTCTTATTTGAGTTTGTGAAGAAGTGTATGCTGCCTAGGTCCGAGAAGACACATATTTAGACTTGGTAGTCATGAAGGTTCTAGATTAGAATATGATGTTTAACCTGCCTTCTTGGATGATCAACCATATGGCTGGAGCAGCTGATTAATCAAAAGATACTCATGCCTTGCCATATGGATTTTTTCTTACTAAAGGTATTTAAACACTTTAAGGTCCCTATTAGAGAACCAAAAAGGGGACAAAGAAGTATATATTTAATAAGAATACCTTGAGGGAATGTGAAAGCGCTGAGATACCATCAGGTACTAAAAGCAAGAGCATGGTCACATATTTGTTGGAGAAATTAGATGTTGTCAATGAAAAGGAGGAGAAGTTGCATGTTGAAATTGCTTCCTTGAAGCAAGAAAATAGGCATCTAAAAGAATAGATGAAGAAAGAGCAAGTTACTATTAGTGCACACTTTGACAGACTCTTGGGGCTCACTTTTGGAGAATCTTCTTCTAATAAAGAACTTGATCTTCTGTCCTCTTAGGTGTCCCAGTTTAATCCCTAACTTGTCCCTAGTTAAGTCCCTTCTATGACCAGATTATGGATTTTTTTTATGGCAGTTTGACGGGTTTATTCAACCATCTTTTGGTTTGGGCCCTTTAGGCTTTATGTAGTACAACTTATCAATCAATATAAATTTCTATTTTTGGGTTGTATTTTTCTTTTAAAGGATGGATAATTTTAATTGAATTAAATATTTGAGATCTTGACATTATGTAAGTATTAGTATAGCCCAAGTGGCCATGAGTTTGATATTGCTTAATTCACACTTTTGACTCTACTAATGCTTTATTTTTTTTATGATGTCAAAAGAAAAAAGTCAAGGATGTGCACATATGCGGATCAACAAATATGGTCTTTATGCACTTGAATTGATACTGTATTAAAAGGTTTATTTGTTTACAGAAATTAAAATATTTTATCCCTAGCTATTTATGGATTGCGATAAATGAAAGATTAGTCAACTACACTTGTGCAAACATGGACAATCTGAAGAAGAGTGGTGACAGTAAAACTAATTCTTAAGTTAAAGATCGTAGATAGGTGACTAATATAGTTGAGTAATGAGCTGAGATGCACATGAGTTTGTCATCATCAAGAAAGGAAAATTTATTGAGCTAAGCATATTCTAGCATGGATGTGTTTTGATGATTGACAAACTAATATCAACTATATTTAAAGAAATAAATTTCATGAAGAAGATGTTACTCTACTAAATTGTTGAGTATATAAAATATGTAGATGTCAAAAAAATCAGGTTCGTAGTAGACTGATGATCATACATAGAAGAATAGATTGCATGTGCAAGTTAGACTCCAGAAGAAGTTCAGTTTGTGTGAAACAGGCAAAGATCTTAGCTGGATGAATCTGTATTCTAAAAGGGTTTTCAATAAATAAGAATAAACTTGCATGGAAAGAAAAGGTTGAGGTGGTTGAACTAAATAAGAAAATCAAATCAAAGTAGGAGAGATTTTCCTTAATCGAAATATTCTAGGTTTTAGAGCATTAATTGTATAAAAAAATTAAAAAAAAATGGGCACCCTCACACCTATAAAAAGAGATCTATTCCAAAAGTCGAGAACTTATGCTATTCTCACAAAATTAAGCATATTACTCTTGGCAATAGCAACCACGACAAGAAGTTGCTCTCAAGGGATTCAAACTGCTCCATTATAGAACTTGTTCCTGAAGATGAAACTACTTAGTTATTTAGTTGTTAGGTTGAGTCTTTTTTTTTTTTTTGAATTGTAACTTATTTTTCTTTTGAGAAGTGTAATTATAGGTTGGCAAAAAAACATTGAAGTTTTCATTTCATTTTCTAGATTAGAGTTAGTTTAGCAAGGGGTTGTTATAATTAAGTTTAGAAAGGGGTTGTTATAATTAAGTTGATTGTAGATGTAGGGTACTAGAATTAGTTTTCTAATTAAGTTGATATCGTATAGAATTAATCAAATACGATATGTCGTGGTTTTTATTTTCTTGAACAAGAGATTTTTCACGTAAAAATCGCTACGTTCTTTACATTATGCACTTTACTAGTTGTTTATGTCTATTTTGGGCATATCAAAGTACTAGGTTCTTTGATTAGCAAATATCGTGTAAGACAAAATTTACCCTCCCTCTTGTTTCTAGGTGAAAGTTAAAAAAAATACCCCCTCCGTTTCAATTTAGATAAGATAGTTTGACTCGATACGGAGTTTAAGAGAAAAGAGAGACTTTTGAAATTTGTGATCTTAAAAGTTTAAGAGATAAAAGTTTTGTGGAGTTATGACATTTGTGTGCTTATAAAAATTTCTCATTAAGGATAAATGAGTAAAATGAAAAGTTGAAAGTTGAATTATTTTTAATTATTGAGATGTGTCATTCTTTTTGGAAAAGACTAATATGGAGTAGTTATTTTATCATTTCTTAATTTAGGTACAGTTAGTTAATATACTTAGCGTTATAGTATTTGATTTAAAACAAAAAAGGTGGGAAAAAATGAAGTCCAACGAAAATTTGCCACGTGGTAAGATTCCCTGCACTTTCACAACGTCCATACATTCACAGCACTCTCACATTTAACTTTTGACAGGCACACACAGATAGATACACGTACAAGTAGACTGTTCGTTTACCAATTCTCAGGGCACACTCGCCGGCAGATCCCACTTTTCACTCTCCGCTGAACTCACACCAACACACACTGAAAGAGGTTCCTCAGCCGCCGTCCAAACACCAGAGCACACCTCATTTTTACACACTATAGCTCACACAGAACATACACACAGAGCCAACTACTCCACTGTCCGCCGCCCATCTTCACCACTTTACACCCAAAAGTGCCATAATCACTTTGCAATTTCAGTTTGTGAAGCTTCGGCCAGTTCAAACCTTCCGAGTTTTCTGTTTTTATCAAAAACTGCTGAAAGCTTAAAGGTCCATCGTCTCTAAATTTAATCTTTTCATTTCCTGGTTTTATGATTCCTTGAAGCTCTTAATTTTATTTTTGTTTGTTCTAATTGACCGTCAAAATTAACTCTGCTTTCAAGTGCCATTTGCTATAATTATTACCGACTACGTGTGGGCCGGGTGGCAGGGCTGAAAATTGGATCAAATGTACATATAATATTTAGTGATTAGCCCGAATTTATTTTATCTCAAATTTTAAACTAAAAATCTTTAACTTCAGGACAATTCAGAATATTTTTCCCAAAAAATTAAACTGAAAAATTTAAATTCAAAACCCACTTGCTAATTCCTAAATTTTCATTTCTACCTTAAAATTGAAGGCATGATTTTGGTCCTAGGTCACTAAATGTCAAAACATTTGGGCTTTTAATGGTTTCTTATTCTTCTTCTTCTTCTTCTTCTTCAGGTGACAGTAATTTTATATGGTGTTTGTGAACATATTTTAAGGTAATTTATAATGTTTTATAGTAGTGAGTTGTTGTGACGCTTTATTTTTTACTATTGCTTAGGATTTTTTCTTCTCTTTCATAATTGCAAAATGAGCTCGTTAGAGTTATTATTGTTTTGACAAATTGATGATTGGGGTTTGTTCTTGATGATATTTGGATGTTATATTTCAAATTTGAGCTCATTTATAGTAGATTTAGGTGTTAAATAGTATATTAAATTGTTAAAATTCGAAGAACAAATTTCTGTCTCTGGGCAATTTGCACTTCAGGCCTATTTGGCTTAAATACATGAAAACCTTACTTGTACTGTAGACCTATTTGGCCTTAAGAGCATCTGAAGTGTAATTTTTTCACTTTAAACTTGTTGGCTTAAGTGCATGAAATCATTGGTTGCACTTCAGGCCTATTTCACCTTAAGTACATCTGAAATGCAATTTTTTTACTTCAGACTTATTGGTCTTGAGTGTATTGCACTTCAAACTATTTTTTTTTTAACTTAAAACCCGATAAGTCTGAAGTTGATCGTAAAGTGAGTATAAAATTGCAATTTTTTTGCAAAATAAGTATAGCTTCAATTCTAATCCTAAAATCGATAGGCAAACTTTAGGTCCATTTTTTGCCCCGACTTGAGATATCATCGGGGTTTATACGCAAACTTTAGGTCCATTTGATTGCTTGTGTTTTTACTTGCTTTCGAAATTTCATGTATTCATTTTCGAAAATGTCCCAAGTATATCTTAATAAAAGCGGAGGCCATTCACGGACAATATCACAGGATGTGATAGATCAAGATTCTTTTCCTTTATTTTCATTTGGGTTATAATAACTATTTTGAACCTAACGTGCAAATGCATTCTTGTTTTTGGTTTCAATCAAGTTATTTTCGTGAATTTGTTTAATGTTCCTCCTAATAAAGTGAAAGCTATCCACCTTATTAGGAGGTTGGTGGAACAGTACAAGGATAAAAAGAAAAATATGCACATGGTATTTATTGATCTAGAGAAAGGGTATGACAAAGTACCAAGGGGGGTTCTTTTGAGATGCCTGGAAACGAAAGGCGTGCCGATTGCTTACATTAGGGCGATTAAAGACATATATGATAGAGCTAAGACCCAGGTTAGGACGGTGGGAGGCAACTCGAAGCATTTTTCGATTGTTATGGGACTGCACCAAGGATCTGCACTTAGCGCATTTTTATTTGCCCTAGTGATGGACGCACGAACGCACCATATTCAAGGGGAAGGTGTCATGGTGTATGTTATTCGCTGACGACATAGTTCTGATTGATTAGACGTGAGGCGGCGTTAACGAGAGGCTAGAGGTTTGGAGACAGGCCCTTGAGTTTAAGGGTTTCAAGGTTAGCAGGACTAAGACAAAATACATAAAGTACAACTTCAGTGCCGAGTCGAGGAAAGTGGGTGTGGACGTGACGCTTGAATCACAGGTCATCCCCAAGAGAAGTTGTTTCAAGTACCTTGGGTCGGTTATACGAGAGGATAGGGAGATCGACAAAGATGTCGTGCACCGTATAGGGGTGTGGTGGATGAAATGGAGGTTAGCATCTGGAGTCCTATGTGACAAGAAGGTGTCATTAAGGCTCAAATGTCAGTTTTATAGAGTGGTTGTTAGACCAGCTATGTTGTATGGGGCAGAGTGTTGGTCAGTTAAGAGCTCGCATATCCAGAAGATGAAAATAACAGAAATGAGGATGTTGAGGTGGATGTGCAAGCACACTAGGATGGATAAGATTAGGAATGAAGATATCCGAGAGAAGGTGGGCGTGGCCCCAATAGATGACAAGATGCGGGAAGCTAGGCTCAAATGGTTCGGGCACGTGCGGATGAGAAGTCCAAACGCCCCAGTAAGGAGATGTGAGCGGTTGGCTTTGACAAGCATGAGAAAAGGTAGAGTGTGGCCCAAGAAGTATTGGGGAGAGGTGATCATGTAGGACATGGCGAGGCTTCAGATTTCCGAGGACATGGCCCTTGATAGGAAGATGTGGAGGTCTAGCATTAGAGTTGTAGGATAGGGGGTAGCGGAGCTTTGCTACTCTGTACCGGGTGAGAGGCTAGTCTAATAGGATTGTGTCCTAGAGTGCTAGTGGTTATTATTGTGTTCACACTTATTCTTCACTTTTCATAGTACCGAGCCTTTTTTACGTGTTACTATTATTGTTTTTCATCTATTTTCTAGTACTTACAATTCTGTTATTATTTCTATGCTGTGTGTTGTTGGTATTGATATATTATTTTTTCCATCTGCTTAAATCGAGGATCTATCAGAAATAACCTCTTTAAGATAGGGGTAAAATCTACGTACACTCTATCCTCGGGTGTCTTACATTTGAAGGGGGTGCCAAACAAATCTTTTTCTACTTTATGGGGGTGTGACATCTAATATTTATTAGTATTAGTTAGATCTTTTAATTTGGCCGCTCATAATAGTTTTCTTCGGCATAAGGTTTGTTAGGAACATACGTGTACATTTTCAAACTGGATTTATTGATGTTGTGTAATCTGTTGAACATACAGTAATAGCCTTTTATCTAAAAGAAGAATCTGATCCCTTTTCTTTTCTTCCCTGCCCTTTTTCTTTTTTGAAAATAATGTACGTGTCAATATGCAAAGTGGTGTGGGGCTGTGGGCAAGTGGTAAGACTCCCGTCGCGAGAGAATGAGATGCCTAGTTGCAAACTAGAGCGACCGCCACGTATCTTGCCGCTATCGTCTTATAACTTTGTGCTGTCAACATCTCTGTTGCTTGCTAACAAGTTAAGAAACTGCTACTACTATTCTTTTGCCCTCCTTCAGTAGGCGACCCTTCTCAGTTCTCGCTGGTTGCGCAGACAACACAAACTTACAAGATCTATATATCAGAAAACTTCTTTGTACTGTTCTCTAGCCTAGTTGCCCTTTCTTACTAAAGTTTCTCTTTTCAGCAGCAGAAATCATGGGTAAATTATTGACTGTAATCACTCACCTTCATACTCTTGCCGGGTAATTTTCCTTTTCATTTTTCATTTTCTTCTTTCCCTTTCTTGTAGCTTCGTTCTGATTTTAATCTTGAAACGAACTCCATGCAGGCCAGTGGTGATGCTGCTCTATCCTCTGTAAGTATTCCTTTCTTTTCTTGAAAAAAAAAAGGTTGATCTAAATGAGCACTCTGTATATAATTAATGCATTTGTTTCATCACTTTTCCTTGTTCTTAAGAGTTATCCATTTGTTAAAACATTTTTGTTTCGTCCTTATTTTTGAATGAAGATATGCATCTGTGGTGGCAATAGAGAGCACATCGAAGCTGGATGATGAGCAATGGCTTGCTTATTGGATTCTCTATTCTTTTGTCACTCTCATGGAGATGGTCCTTCAGCCCGTGCTTCAATGGTTTGCAACCTCTTAATTTTTAAATCAACCCCCCAAGATAGCAAAGAAAAAGAACAATGTAAATTACGTGGGTTGAATATTTATGTTGTAGGGTACCAATTTGGTATGATGTGAAGTTGGCGGTAGTGGCATGGCTGGTACTTCCGCAGTTCAGGGGAGCTGCTTTTATCTATGACAAGTTTGTTAGAGAAAAGCTCATCAACAAATATGGAGCTTCATATTTCAGAGACAAGTCTCCCCCTCCAGCCAAGGTGATTGTCCTTTTTTGTTTCTCATAAATAGATTATTTTGTTTCGTTTATCTTTTAATTCTGGTAGTTAAAGATTTTAACTTTAATATATTAAACTAATTTATTACAGTTCACTGGCGCGTTCATTTATTGCATTTCACAAAAAATACAATATTGTACCGCATTCTTTTTGAGAGAGAATAATATACCCCTGAATATTTCTGATACCAAGTCAGTAAGATGATTCTAATTTATCTTTTTCTTTATTGGTTTTTGGGACAGGTGGAGCGTGAAACCCGGTGAGGATAGAGGATTTGAAGGATTAATCTACATATGTGGAACAGCTTTCGTCTTTCGTTTTCTAATCAGCGAAGAATTACACTGTATTTTAGTGCTGCAGATAATGTGGTTGTCGTGAATGTTGTATCATCACTTTAATATATACAATCTGCTTGCTTGTTAACGAAAGTCCCTAATATTTGGTCAGAGAGATGCATGTCTGGAAGCTTGAAATCTATTCTCATTAGAAAGTAATTGTATATGTCACAAAATGAGTGCATGCTGCATGTGAAAAGCGGATGTGATTTAATGCCAGAAAACTGACTTATGTTAGAGCTAAAAAGCTTTCTTCCTTTGTGTTGTAAATCTCCAATAGAGAGGAATATTCTCATTGGAGAATTAGAAAACCTCCAAAAACGCAAAGGAACAGTTGATTGAAGCCTTCTGTAAAAAGAATCAAAATATGCCTAAGATGTACTCTTCCATGCCTTTAATTAGAGTGACATACTGTCAGGGCAGGCTATTCAAATTTACTATTTTTAATGCGAAGCATAACATGTATGTAAAAATATATGTAAAAGTGATGAACTAATTAAACTTTCAATGAATTTTAGTGCTAAAGATTGAATTTATTAAGTTAAATGAAAATTCTGAATTCTTATCCAGGTTAAATGCTGAATCTGAATTTGCTTTATACGGCTCATGATTCGCCTTTGAATGTAGGGAACATGCAATGCTCATGATTCATGCCAAGAGAAATAAAACAAGCTGCTTTTTCATCTGTTTTAGTGAAAAAGATGCGGATCTACGTAGTTGACTTGGGTGCCACGCCACCCGTCGCTCGGGTAAAATTGTATGTTTGTATTGGTATTTTACGTAAAAAGGTCTATATAAGTAAAGCTTGGCATCCGAAGTCACAATTAACATGGTTAAACTGGTAAACCCCCAGCCCTAGCTGGGATGCAAGATTGAATCACAACAGATTCCAAAGCTTTTCCTTTGTCCGTGTCGTTTCATGTCCCTTTTCTTTGTTTTCTTTTTACTCCTTTTCTTAACTTCTTTTTATTTCTTCATCTTTCTATTTTCTCTCGTTATACAAATCCATTCTGTAGTATATTAAATTATACCTTTCTTTCCTTTTATCAAAATCTCAAAATTTTGTTTGGTTGTGATTTTAGTTATTTTCTCTTTTTACCCATCTAATGTTATTCCTTGGTTTCCAAATACTTTTTTGCAATGATGGTATCAATAGACATAATATTAGTCTAGCTATACGGAGATTAAATGGGTGTATTTGCTATTTTTTTATGTTTTTAATCGATCACATAATTCAATAGAATTTAATTTGAGAGAATTATATCATATTGAAAAAAATTATTTAATTTGGTGATCACAAAAATCTAGTAAATCGAAATAAATTTAAAATGGATCAAATCAACTGAGCGGAATTAATTCAAAACGAATCGAACCAGCTAAATGTACAGAAAATTATGGCACCCGCAGTTATCAAATCTTGGATCCGCCTCTATTGCCAAGAGGATGTCACGACCCAGAATTTTCACCTTCGGGACCGTGATGGCGCCTAACATTTCACTTGCTAGGCAAGCCAACGTTAGAAAATTTTTAAATCAACTTCAGTACACTTTTAATAACAGAATTTATTTAAGTTAAACAGAAGTTATAACAGAGTTCACGAAATATTATAAAAACTTCAATATTTACTACCACCCGGATCTGGAGTCACAATTCACAAACTTCTAGGATTTACTACAAATAAAAAGTGTGAAAGGAATACAGCTGTTTGAGTGAAAGAAACAGTAATAACAGAAAAGATAGACTGGGACTTCAAGGTCTGCGAACGCTGACAGATCTACCTTGAGTCTCCGATGAACCAGTCCGAGCTGCTACGCCTTTCGATTAGCTGGGACCAATACCAAAATCTACACAGAAGTGCAGTGTAGTATCAGTACAACTGATCCCATGTACTGGTAAGTGTCGAGCCTAACCTCGACGAAGTAGTGACGAAGCTATGACAAGACACCCACGTAATAAATCTGTGCAATTTAACAGTATATGTACAAAATAACTGCAAATAAAAGATAGACAAATAATATCGGAAGGGGGACATGCTGAGGGGATTACAAGATAGAGACTCCCAACTGTAATGAGAACTTGATCAACCAATATATTTTAAACCAAAATAATAAGTAAACACAGTAAAGGAAAGTGCACGGCATCACCCTTCGTGTTTTTACTCTCAACCTCACCATATAATCAATAGAAACGGCACGGTATCACCCTTCGTGCATTAACACTCATATCATGGCACGACATCATCCTTCGTGTTTTTACTCTCTCAATAGAAACGGCATGGCATCACCCTTCGTGCATTAACACTCTCTTTTACCATAAAACAATGAACAACAGACAACCGGGAGATAGAAATAATAAGAACAAGTCTTACTTCAATATTTGGTTCCATAATACCAACCTCAACATTGAAATCATTACTCAATTATCACCAAAAGATTCGTAAACATGATAAGAACGATCAACTTGATTATACTAGTCTAAACATGGATAACATGATCAAAGAAAAGCATTAATTACAAGAAACTAAGTTCCACCTGCATGCTTTATCCGACAACAATGCATAGGTATTCGTGACCTTACCTATACGTTGCATCCAACATCTAAACACATAGCAAATAGACAAATGAGTCACAATCCATCAAGTTAAGGTTAACCACGACACTTACCTCGCTCCAAAGACCGAATTCAAAGCTCAACCATTGCTTTACCTTTCAAACAAGCCTCTGAACCAATAGAATCTAGCAATTTACCAAGCAAACGATTCAAATTATTCTTTAAGAACTACCCACGGTTGAAAAAAAATCAATTTAGGTCATTATTGAAAAAGTCAACAAAAGTCAACACCCGGGCCCGCTTGGTCCAAACCCGAGATTCAAACCAAAATTCGATTACCCATTCACCCCCGAGTCCGATTATGTAATTTGTTTTGGAATCCGACCTCAATTTGAGGTCTAAATTCCCAATTTACCAAATCCCTAATTTCTACCCAAAAACCTCCAATTCCACTATGAAAACTCTAGATTTTAGGTTGACATATAAGGAAGAGTAGTGAAAGATTGAAAGAAAATAGTTTAGAATCACTTACCAATGATTTAGGGAAGAAAAGCTCTTTGTAAAATCGCCTCTAGGGTTCTTGAGTTTGAAAATTCGAAGAATGAATCAAAAATCCCGTCTAAATCATATTTACTCAGCTACAGTGCGAAGGAGCCATCGCAAATGTGAAGCCCTTCACACCTATGTTGCCTTCGCAAATGCGAACATGACCCTCCGCAATTGTGACCCTATGATCGCATTTGCGATCACTGCCTTCCCTAGACTCACTTCGCAAATGCGAAGTATGTTTCGCAAATGTGAAAGTTGTGTGGCCCAGCTACTCTTCGCATTTGTGATGAGTAGCTCGCAAATGCGAGGCTGATATGTTTGCAATTGCAAACTCTGATCTTGCAAATACGAGATCAGAGGCCAGTTCCCATAAATTGCAGATACCAGTAAATGTTCTAAATTCAATTTCACTCTGTGGCCTATCCGAAACTCACCCGAGCCCTCGGGGCTCTAAACCAAAAGTGCACACAAGTCTAAAAACATCATACGAACTTGCTCGCATGATCAAATCACTAAAATAACACCTAGAACTACGAATTGAATACCAAATCAAATGAAATTTTCAAAAAAACTTTGAAACTTCTATTTTTACAACTGGACGTTCGAATCACGTCAAACCAACTCCGTTTCTCATCAAATTTCACAGACACGTCTTAAATATGGTATTGGACCTATACCGAGTTCTAAAACCAAAATACGGACCCGATATCCAAAAGTTAAACTTCGGTCAAACATTTTAAATTCATTAAGCCTTTAACTTTCAAATTTCGACAAAGTCCGATATCTCGGGCTATGGACTTCCGATTCAATTCCGGGCATGCGCCCAAGTCCCAAATCACGACACGGGCCACTTGGAACCATTAAATATGAATCCGGATTCGTTTACCAAAACTATTGACCGAAGTCAACTCTAATGAAGTTTTTAGGCAAAAATTCTTATTTTTCTCAACTTTTAACATAAAAGCTTCCCGAAAATATGCCCGGACTGCGCACACAAATTGAGAAGGGATAAAATAAGGTGTTTAAAGCTTAAAGCGTAGAATTGGGTTCTAAATCTTAAGATGACCTTTTCGGTTATCACATGAAATTAAAACAAGCTTTCTCATATGTTTTAGTGAAAAAGATTACAACTTACAAGCAACAAGTTTTATAACACTAAAAATGAGGGAGGGAAAAAGGATTATTATAACTACAAGAACGAGAGAACAAAGAAGAAAAAGACCTTTGAAGAAAGGAGAGAAATCACAACGGGGAGACTGTAAATCTACAACATAGTACGAGAGAGGGAAACCTTAGACTTTCCGTTTGTATAATGTCAAAAAGGGAACTTTATATAAGGGTTGAAGCTATTTTGTTTCAACCATTTAGAAAGTTTAAATGTTTTATATTTTAATTTAGACTAGCTTCAAACAAAGCTGAGCAAGTCACCAGGTTGGACATCGCTATGTACGTTATGCTATGCGCATAAAGCGGATACTACATTTTCTGTAGGTATTACATCAAGTAGGTAAACTAGTACGTAATCTAAGAAATAACCATTTGAATCATGTACATATAGTTTTGTAGTACTTGAAAGAATTAAGTTATCATCAATGGACTAAGGTATGTGTTGAAACATATACTATAAATATTTTCACTTCATAACTAAAATTTGGACTTGCCATACTAAAGAGGGCTATCTATATTTTTCCCGACTTGCTCGGTTAACGGGTTAAAGGTGGCATGTGGACCGGTCCCGGGCCTAAGTGGGCTAAGTGGGCCGGTTCCTAAATAGATCGGACCCAATTTAAACAGGCTTCACGGTCCCGGTCTTGGTGATCCTTTTGTACGAACCGGACGGGACCGGACCCACGAACTAGTGGCCACGGGCTAAGTGGGGCCAAGTGGGCCTAAGTGGTCCCAACGGATATTTTTTTTAATTTTTTTTTATAGAAGTTAGAGAAAAAAGATGGTAATAAAAATATCTAAAGCAATTCCTTGTAAATTATATTATAGAATTGTGACCTAAATTCTT